TCACTTACACTTTTTCAAATAAACACGTATGAGGAATGTAAAAATTGGTTTATTATCATATGTACTTGTTTGAAAAAGTGAAGGTGACATGTGTCAAAAGAATAAGGTAGTATTTGAATAAGAGAGTATGTATGTACTCTTCACTTTAGGTTTTTGAAATTTTAATACACGTGAAATAAGTGGACGTTTGGTTCATAAATTTATAATTATTCTTTATTTATGTGTGTTTTTATAAAAAAAATACTGTAACAAATCATAAATTATAATTTAAATTATAACATAAATACACCAACTAAACATATCATAAATCCATATTTTCATACTCAAAATATCACCCAAATGTGTACAGCTTGGCAGTCAAATGTTGCCTCTATCTCATTAGTGTTGAATTTGACTCCCATCATACATAAAGTTTCTTTTTTTCTTCTTTTCTTTTCAAGTATTCTTTTCTGGTCGTTTCAGTTTCCAACACATAAATAAATGCACTAATAATAATACATAGGAATTTACATTTAATTGGACGTTTCCATTGCAAGCACGCCTTTCAACTTTCAAGTTCCGAAAAGCATAAAAGGTTAAAAGAATTAATTACAAAATTCCGTCCAAATTATAACTCTAGTAATACTTTATTTTTTAATTTTTAAAATGTATCATCTGTTCTTTCTAAATAATAAAATATTAATAAAAAAATATTTTCATTAAATTTTTAATAAAAATTGATATTTAATTAGTTATTTTAAGGGTATTTTGATAATTCTATAATTTGAATTTAATATGAATTCAAAACTAATTTTAATTTAAACTTTTAATTATTAAACACCCGTCATTAATTGTGTCATTGGGAATGAAGAATATTTATTGTTTTAGTTATATTGTATGTAAATTAGACTAAAAAATTAGGGTGTGTGGTTAAAATAGTAATTGTGTTCTAAATTATTTAACAAAAACAGTTATTTATGTGACACGTGTTAAAAATTATTAAATTTCTTAACATATGGGGCATTTTTGCTACTATTTCATTGTTCATAGGGAACAAATATTATATTTAAAAGATTATAGGGTAAAGTGTTACAAATGACATAATTCAAATAGAGTTTTTGTAATTAATCCAAAAGTTAATGAATATATTCTAAACTTAAACCGATAACCTATTATAACACAATTGCAAGAAATTTAAAAAGAACAAGATAGAAAAACACGAAAGAAATAGAAGAGATAATGTAACTTTCTCTTCTTCTTCTTTCTTTCTTTTTTTTTTTTTTTTTTTTTCAATTTGTAAGTGGTGAAAAATACATGCCTATATATCGGCTAAGAACCGTAAGTGTAAATAAGACAATAAGACACAAGTTACATAGGTTAGAATATTATAAGAGAATAATTGTGGAAAGGGTAAGTTGGGGACTTGGGGTTTTTGGTGTTCACCACATTTTTTGACCTTTTTTTTTTTTTGGGGTTTAAAGTCGTTTGATTCAGATTGATTTTGGCACCAACCCCATGTACTTGTCCACTAGTGGATGAATACATATTCTTATTGTACTTGAATATTTCATATCATATTATTATGACATTCAGTTCTCCCAAAAACTTGTTAGCAATTGAGAATGTAATATCAATTAACAAGAAATCGTAATGACTTTTGGGGTAATAAAATAAAGTTGCCATTTTGGGATCTCACAAACGGGCCATTTTTGGTTGGAATGATTCATGAACACACCCGCATTTCACTGCTTCCCTTTTGCAATGAGACGTGGCCTGTTTTTCATTCTATAGATCAAGCATGGGAAGTCTTACTACCAAGTGGAGGGCCTAGCAGTATGGGATTACGGTGATGAGTCTATGATGTTCGGTGTTGGGAGACCCTCTTTTAAGTGTCTTAACTTGAAGGTTTGTAATTATCAGCGTAGTACTTGATTTAGAGTGTCTGAGACCACGCCTCATGTATCCTTACTGTTAACACATTTAATGGGAGTGAGGTGACGCTTTCCTCATCAAGGCTAGGGCACAACAGTGACTCTTTCCTCATCGAGACTAGGGCACAACAGTAGGCCATCAACAAATATTCGTGTGAGGGTCTGGGTAACAACTAGAAGAGGTATGCTAACATCGGTCTTTCTCTTTTTGGACTTTTCTTCATAAAAAAAATAAAAAGAAGAAGAAGGAGGAGGAGGAGGGAACTTTTTAGTTGGGTTTGGCCAAGGGTTTGGGAATCCAAGTCAAGTCAATTCAAGGACCATGCACTTTTTTCATTCACTAGGTCTTTTTCTTTTTTGAATTTTTACCATTTGAGATTTTAACGAGGCGCCTCTTTAATTAGAAAGTTAGATCCTGATGAATTTATGTCCTACTTTTTTTGTTGTTTGATTGTTTCCATGGACCGTGCGTAGTTCTTTTTCAGAATTGCTTTACTGTATTTTTTTCATTTAGATTTGATTTTTTTATTTTTTTTATTCTATTGTTATTAAAGTTGGTTGAGAAAGGCTGGATTTCTTTTTTTTTTTTTTTTCTTTTGTTGGCCAACATAATTTAGATGTGATAAATCTCTCATTATTCTTGCAGTAGCCCTTTTCATTCTTGAGAAAAAAAACAAAGGGGGAAAGAAAAACAACAACAGCAACTTCTTTGCCAATGAGTTTGAGAATTATAGCTATGGCACATACATATAGAAAACTACAAAAGTAATTATATAATGGAGAGATAGCTTGACACGGGCCAATCAGAGTATGACATTTTAGATTAAGAGATTTTGATTTACATTTTATAACTTAAATAGAAAATATAACCCCAAAAAAAAATGCATGATCATTGTTAGTAAGAGAGAATAGTGATAAGTAAACTCATTCCAGAAAACCCTAAAATCTACCAAAAGAATTTCCTAATTGTTATCATCATGAAGAAAACCTATAATCGGGAAAACCTTCCAAATCACAAATTACTAAGGGTGCATTTGGTAGGGCGTCTTGGAGTCTAAAATCACTTCTCTAGTCATCAGAAGCTGATAATCGTGTTTAGTAAAAATCATAAAAAGTGATTTTTGAAGAATCTACAACCAAAATCAGAAGCAGCCTAAAGACAACTTTAATTTTTAGATTGTCCAGAAATCAACATAGTACAATTAATGATTATCAACAAAATTATATTAAATAATCAATTATTAATTATTATTAAGTTTTTAATTTTGTTAATAAAATAATAAATAATATAGTAATTATTTATTTAGTTAAAGATTAATTGTCAAAAATTAATTATATAATATATTAACAATAAAACAAGTAATAATAGGTTATTAAATAAATTATTAATAATTAATATATCAATCATATATTGTGTTAATTATAATCTATTAATTAGTAAATAATTGGTGAAGAAAAAATAAATTATAACTATCAATATGTAATATATTAATCAATAATAATTAGTAATTGATAATTAATAATTAATCCTTATAAAAAGAATCATTACCAAAAATTGATCATGTGATATATCAAATAATAGATTATTAAATAAGCATTAGTAATTAATTAACTAATTATTTAATTATGTAACTAAAAGTTAATAATTCAAGTAGTAAAAGGAATATTAATAAATTATGTATATACTAATTATTTTTCTTAATACACTAATTAATTACTTATAATCTAATAAATATGAGTACATTACTAACATAGTAATTACTTATAATTAATTACTAATTATTATTTTTAATTATTTAGCATATTAATTTATTATATATAGTTTAATTACTAATGTACTCATTAATGATAATTTATCCATTATTATTATATTATTAATACGTTAATTTTTATTTATTAAATAATTATCAATTATTAATTACTTTATATATTAATTTAAGATTATTATTTACAGTCATCTTAACTACCCACAACAGTTCAACCTCACAATTTACTAAACGCTATTACACTGCTTTTGGAACCAGCAACACTTGTATAATTACAGTTTACCAAACACACAGTTACTTTTTATAACAGCTGATTTTTCCTTCAACACAGTTAAAAGTAATTTTTTTTAAATTTACAACACTACTAAACTGGCCCTAAGTATAAAAGGACAGTTACTTGACCACCAAGTCGGAGTACAAAATGAAACATCTTTTGAGACCAATTTATCCACAACATGATTTTCTTTTCTATAAGTATCATAGATCTTTTTTTTTTTTTGTTTCTCTGATATTATAAATCGTATTCACCATATTGTAAAGGTAATTGAGGACAACAAAACAACAAGTTCTCAATCTTTTGGGGGAAACTCCAATACGCCTACCAATTCCTACATTTGCAGGCATGAATTGGCATACTTCAGTTTCTCACTATTTCTTAGATTTATAGACCCAATTAAATTCAGTGGTATCTTTCATTCACATTTTCTTCCATCAAGAACATTTTATAAAACTCTTGGACTCCTGCACATTTACAGGGTTCAACACAAGCGATATTTCACGATGGTGTAGTACTATTGCTTTAGGTGGTTTGTGCATGAATTGAGACAATTTATTGGCTGTTAAGACAGTGTCTAGCATTGTTAAAGAGAAATATTTGAGCTTAGCTAAAAATAAATAAATAATTAAGTCGAATTCATTGGGGAAAAAGGAAAAAGCGAATTGATGATTTTTTTCTTTTTTTTTTTCATGAGAAAGTTGCCTAGGAATCCATAAAAACAGGTTATGATGATTATTTTTCTTTTTTGATAAATGGTTATAAAGACCATTTATAGTGTTAAAGTAGTAACTAAGCAACATTCCCTCCTTTTTTTGGAAGCTAGACTTTGGAAAATGAATAATAATTATTATACCTATTACTTTCCTGCCTTTCTATAGTTTCCTGCCTTTCAAAGATTGTAAGATTCGGCGTTGGACTCCGGTTAATTCGGGCTCACAAAGTGAGCTCAGAAGATTTCTGAGTATAAAAAGAATTAGTATAACTATAGACACCAATGTGTGTAATCTTAAATAATATAAAATTGCAGAAAATATTAAAGGATGCTTTTTAAATGATAACATATACAAATTCAAAATCTGGGGTTAAAATTATTAAAACTGGCATTATAAACTACACTAGACTTGCATCCATAGGCACATCAGCAGACACAAGACGCTGTAGAATTTGACGCATGAATTTCAGGGTGCTATCCTTGTGTCATATCTGCAACTTCACATTTCATCTTTTACAAAAGGATCAAAGCATAAAACTAAAAATGTAGAAATCAGAGTTCCCCCAAAAATTCTGTTCTTAAATCTAGAACAAAGATAGCCCGAAACCGAAAAAACGGACGGGTCATAGAGACAAGTCACCCATCCTCATGGAAGCAACTCTAATCATGTTAGCCTCCTGCATGAATCAGGTCACCCTAGCTAACTGCTCTGGCTAGTTGCCCTTTGCACTGACGAATCGTGATCGGAGAAAATCATGCCTCGATAATTTGGCAATTTACATCTTTAAAAAGCTATACGGCAAACCAAGATGGAGCAACACGGTCGAAAAAGCAACGGCCAATCCGACCAAAGAATATAGAGTCAAAAATATCCTGCTCAAAACGTTGTATAATTGGCGAAATCATTCAACAAGTTATCTAGAGCTTCAGGCATGAACTTCCTTGCGAACAGGTAACACGGCCGTTGCATGCCATTCCATAAGCAAGGCCATTTCTGCACTACCTTCTGCAAAAAGTCCAGCGCATTGTTTTAAGATGTTAACTTGCTCTAACCATTTCTTAAAATGTGAAATTTGGAAGCATGTCTAGAATACATACCTTCTCGTCACTGGTTACATGCACACTCACATCGATCGACTGCAAATATAACACCGTTAGACAGTCATCATTAAATAGCAACAGATGCTCACATCAGATATTTACTTTATATGTATAAACTACTAAAGCAGCAAGAATCAATCCTGAAGAGAATGCCCAATAATAAATGGGGTTATTAGAAAAGGTCTACCACCCACATAGCTAAGCCATATAATGCGACCAACGATTGGAAAATATCATGCAGTTCAACTGAATGATTGGAATAAAATAACGCAACATTATGGCTACAGCCATGAGCAACTTATAGATGAACTCAGAAAACCCCAGAGAGTAAAAAGAAATACTAAGAGAACATGCACACGTGCAGAAACCCCTGTTTTCAAAGATTAAGCTCTTGGAGATGTGTACCGTTAAGTTTTTTAGCAGCTCATAAGTAATATCCTGGGCCTTGTATGACTTCGGATGCCACTTTCTCTCTGACCAATCAACATGAGTTACTGACCAGTTTGCAATTCCACCAGGATCAGCCAACTGAAACAAATCAAGAATAAATGCGTTTTTGACAGAAAGATATGGAGCAGAATTGAGGATACAATTATGACTTGAAAATATAATCAATTGACATAATCTCACATGGAGGAAGGTCGGTAAGTAATGTTCATCGGCAATACAATTCCGCCCCTCCAAACCTGGCTGTAACATTTAATTGGATGCAGGTCAACACCATGATACCTTCGACTCATGTTTAAAAGCTTTATAGTTCAAAGCCCAACTCAACTTTAAGTTAATAGAACATCAACAGCATGACGAGCAAGGAGAATACTAAAAACATGATTAAATTAAATAAATGTTCTAATGCTTATAAGAGATCGTGTACAGCTGAAAGCAGCTATACAATCCATACAAGAGCAAAAACAGTCGTCATTGATTCAACTTGCAATTTTAAAATGGCAATATTTTGCATTGGTTAACTCTATCATCTACTCATTTACCCAAAAAAAAATAATAAAAAAAATAAAAATAAACACCCTCTATCACTCTCTTAAACTCAAATGCACAAAAATGATTTCCAACTTTGCCACTACAAATCAATTGTTTTAGCAAGGTAACTTTTTGCACTTCGTTTAGAGTGGGCCAGCCCTTCTGCCTTGCTATTGTCTGTTCATGTAAGCCAGCCTCAATATTTCAAACCGCTTCAAAGACCCAAATTTTTTTTTCTTTTGTATTTTTATCCTTTTATCTCTTGCAATAGAATTACACAATTGCATTATTCAACTATCATTTATATCCTCCATATAAATGCAATTTGATTTCAAATGAAGAAACCTACAGACTCCATGATTTCGAACATCAAGCAGCATATCTCACTAAGGACAAAGCAGAAATATCCCTTTCGGAGGAGTGGGGTGGATAGGCCTTAGCCCAAATGGTCTTTGGAATTGGCATCCAAAGTAAGATCTTTAATAGCACCCAGACACACCAAATAACATAAATGAGAACTAAAAATCAGTACTAGACCTACCAGGTACCAGCATCGTTTTCAGAGTTTCCCAAAAATTTCATAATGAATGAAGTGATACACGGGAGACACGCACGGTGGAGAATGATTTCCACAAACTCTAATGAAAAGAAGGTAACATTGATGCACTTAAAATGAGCACAATCTTCAGCATGAGCAAAACGACCCTCTTAAGTTCAAGCAAGCATTTAAAATCACATAAATTTACTAATCACATGCCATTTGAGTACTTGGCATGATGTTTAATAAAGCAAATGAATAATGACACTAAATAGTAAACAAACAAAAATTCCCTAACCACATTAACAAAGCCAACAATTTTTAAATGCAGCCATAGAATTCACATGGCAATACTCAAATATGATAAAAGATTTAAAAGCACCGAAGGAATATATTCACCTTGCAGTATTCCCGGAATTTTGTGTAGTATAGATTGTCTGCCAGGACTATAACAGCATGTTGACGCTTCAATGTGAACCACTGGACAAATGATAATAATGAAATAAGAACTAAGATGATATTTTAAAAGGGAAACAAAAGGCTAAAAAAAAGGAAATAAACAAATTAGAAGAACAAAACTGTTGCAGTGCAAACACTGAGCCATATATATTGCTGAGTGTACAATCACAAAGTTTGAACATCTAAATTCTATCGCAATACAAAATACCTTCTTGTGACCCACAACTACTTGGAAAGAATTTGAATGCTAGAAGCCTAGGATCTTGCATAAAACAAGCACTACTAATGCATGACCATCAGTTTTGTGATAGTTTAGAGGAGATACAGACTGCTATGAATTATGATGTTTAATCCCATTATACAGGTAAGCATATCCAAACAACAAGAAGTCTATCAAAGATGGACCCATGCGTTAACACAAACTAGATGCAAGAATGGTATTATGTATTGGAATCTTAAAAGAGCAACAACCAATAATATCCTAGTCAAAACCGCATTTTATAGAATATTGTCAGACTATTAGACTATTATCATGTGGAATTAATACTGCTCGTTGTGGTACAGTCAAGCACGTAAAAGCAAACAATAAACTTGTAAAGGTACTTATATTGTTCTGCTATCAACATAACTTATCCTCTTAGTTAGAATGGATAGCTGTCCAAGTCGTTTGCCAAAAAAAAACATCTTTCATCAATTTAAGGAAACATCGAGTTTTCTACCACATGGAAACTAAACGCATTGCTTCCAAATTATACCTGAGCACCCTTTCGAAAGTCTTTCTTGTCAATTTCAGGTAACATGTGTTCTGAATACCTGCCATTTCCATGTGGACCAGGATCCTCAAACCTGAAAAAGAAACAAAGTTTTAAACATAAAGAGTGAAAAAATAAGCAAACAAATGAAGGCTCAATACATGTAACAAGTTGTGATCCAAACCAATTTTCCAGGTTAGCATATACCATCAGTGAAAGTCGACCATGATTAATAGAGGACGAGAGAATTTAAGTTATCTTATGGACCAAGAAAAACCATTGGCAAAACTTAAATGGCAACCATAAGAAGAGCCTCTTACACGGCTAAACTAGAAACAGAATACCATTGACAGGTGAAGACTGTACTTACGCATCAACAAAGCTGATGTTTGTATTTATCAGGTAGTCGTAGATATAGTCAAAATTATACAAAGGTACGCAACTGCAAAAGCAATAAATTATGAAGTGTTAATAACAGAATAAGTAACTACGGAAAAGTAGAAAGGGTAATTCAAGGCAATTCAATAATCTAAATACCTTTCAGAAAGCAAAACAAAATGCTGGTTATCAGGATCCTGAAGAGCCTTCGCCAATAAGCGTTTCTCTGCATCAACCATGGAAATCTTGCCCCACACAACCTGCAAACATGATCAAACCACCAATTTGCTCATTTTAGAAGCTGGTGAGAACATCTAGCACTAACAGATGACAAGAAACAAGTTTAAAAAAAAAAAAAAAGGGAAGTATAATAATTGATTCATTGCTTTTAACAAGAAACATGAAAATATTAATCAACCAAAAATAGTTTCAAGGGAACAGAACAAGATGTCCGCAAAGCATACTACACTGAACTACAGGGAGGCCATAATCAGAAAAGATCTAATACGACTCAAAATGATTAAATTCAATAGAACATCCCATATTCATTATGTGCTAAATTCTTTTCAAAGAATCACCATAACAGCACTTCAACCAAAAGGCTTGAGACGAATTCCTAACTAAACTAAATTAGCTACCCTTCTGGGATCACCCATTACCACCAATTCAACCAACCAGGCTAAGGGATACTCAAGAAAATAAATAGATAGATAAATAGATAGTATACTAACTGTTACAGCTCCTAAATATTCACTTTTATTTGGATTTGGTTAAAAAAACAGGCATAAAAGATAACCAATCTACAGCTCTAAGAGCCAGTCTTTTGGCATAATTATATGGTCTTAGCGCCATCAAATATGTGGAATCATAGTCAAGTATACAATCCAACATCTATATCATTCACTTTTATTTGGATTTGGTTAAAAAAACAGGCATAAAAGATAACCAATCTACAGCTCTAAGAGCCAGTCTTTTGGCATAATTATATGGTCTTAGCACCATCAAATATGTGGAATCATAGTCAAGTATACAATCCAACATCTATAACATTGCAACATGAATATAAAACTATAGCACAAGTACTAGGATGCATGTAAATAAAATACTTGGGGGAAGAACAGAAGAAACACTGAATGCACAACCAGTCCAAACGAACCGCTAGTTTCTTAACATAAGCATTCAGATGGTACACTTTTTTCCCCCTCATTTTGAGTATTTAAAACAACTGGGTTAGCTCAAAACAGTGATTAGCAGTAACGGGCTAATCCACAGAAAGTCAGAAACCACAACTATTCAGGTTTTTCAGATCCATAACTCTGACATTTTCATAGGAATAATACCAAGTAGATATATGCTTTCCACATTGTATGAAGTAATTATTATACTCGTGTCAAATATATAATCATATGCTTAAAGAAGACTGTGTAGATACACGTGTTAGCCATGCAACAAATAGAGACATCTGCAATAATTTCGTGTCAGTGATCACAAAGAACAAACTCATCCTATGTATCTCGCCAGTGCAAAATTCCAAAGCTTTGAAAGATTAATATAATATATATGACAATCAGATGTACCTGATCACTGCGTATGTCTTTATTGACAAAGTAACCGCTAACATGCACCGGTTTCTCCTTGGAAGCATGAACATAAACAGAGAATTTTCCTTCATGACCCTGCACATAAAAGAGATATAAAGTTGCAACTAAGAGAATGAAGACTTCTGATAATCAAAAGACTTCTGATAATCAAAGGACTTCTGATAATCAAAGGACTTCAGCTGAAAATTACAAATAAATACATTTATTACCAAAAGAAAAAATTTCCATGTTTTACTGAATTAATAGACAGTCAATGAAACAGAGATACAGCATCCTATTGCGGAAAACAATGATAGCGTAGACAGCATAATAATTATAAATAAGCAGCACAGTGACGTAGCAAAGGTATAATAAACGTAATCAATAAATGCAACTCAAGCATGCAGCTCATAGGAAAGCTCACAAAATTAATGGTCTTTTATGTGTTTGAAAAGGCTACTTATTCACATTGGTATCGCTCCAAATTGATCAACTTTTTTTTTGTTGGAAGACAAATAATAAGAGGACGTCTCATCCGCCAAGAGAAAAGATAAGCTACTTGACAGCAACAGGAAATACAGTGTGCACTTGCTTGATTGATTAATAAACGTTTGTTATTCTAAGTATAAAATTCATAGCTGGACTAAGTGTAGATGAAGAAATAATTATATCACCTATTGACAACGTCAATAGATAATACTTTTTAATACCAATCCAAGTTTGTAATTGACCTTTATAATCCCTGATGAGACCAACCTGGCCAGTGTTTAAACACATGATCCCAGTTACCACCATCACAAGGGATCCTCGTTTCCAATAAATGTCACGTCTTAAATCTTATGGTATCAGTCATGGAGAACAATTTCCAATCAGCCTTGCAAGAAAGATGAAAATATGCGACCTGAGCAGGTACCAAGCATTACAAATAAACAAATCATTCGTAGGCTCCTTTTTCATGTCGTTTTTAGCTCCCTGAATCCTCAAAAAATTGCTTTATATACTCAATTTGAATATAGCATACAGGTACGGAGACTAACAATAACAATGCTTGTTTGACAAGATTACCACAACACTATAAAACTAAAACCTAACTGCTAATGAACCATCTTGTCAATTCTAGGCAAATGAGATAAAGAAACGACAACAACAAAACAAGAAACTAAGAATAATTTGATACAAAAAAAAAGGCGCGATCAGATGAAAATCTTACATGGAAAAACTTGTCCCACAGCTTCTCAAAAGGCAATGAATGGGGGGTCAAAAACATGAATGCAACTTTAGGACTTTCAGATTGCATAGGAGCCGCGTTCAGAATTTCTCTAATCACAACACGAGATGCTATCTCTTCATCAGTATATTCCCTTGTAGGAACAGGTGGGAGCCAGTCAGAAATTATAGCCTTACAACCTCTCGAAGAAAACATGTAACAGGCAGCACTACTATGGGGCGGGTAGACATAAGCACAGATTAGAAAGATGCTGACCATCGAGACCAAAACAATAATCCACATCGGCCTCTTCATAGGTGGGCGGTGGCGAGAGCCAGGCAAGATCTGCATGTCACCCATGCCTAAACGCCACGCGTGACCTGTCTTCATCTAGAATAAATGCATCACAATTTCATCTCAATATGCTACTCTTTTCAATGCTCAATCGATTGATCCAAATGACTCTGCAATAGAAACCCCTGTGAGACCAATTAGCCAGCCAGAAATACAGGAGAGAAATGGACCATAATTATTTTTTCGCAACCACATACAGCGAAAACAAGCATGTGGCATTGGACCTAGTCCACGAAATATTTACAACTCTCCTATTCAATTATAAAAGAATGGAAGAAATAAGAAATACTAAAACTACAAGCAAACTTAATATGATCTAAGAATTAGGCAAAACAAGTATCAAACCTCACAACTTTGAACTAAATCATTAGAAACGCCAACACCATTCTAATAGAAAATTGTGTAAAACATACACATGAAACATTTTTCCAACGAGGAATGACAATAGGGCAATTTGCTTTGATCGTGATAGTTTGGGCTCGTACAATTATATGTTTTAATTGAAAACGGAAAAACCTTTTGATAAAAACAATCTACCTTTTCCTCTTCTATATTATCGTAAACATTTGATTGAAAGCAAAAGATAGAGATAGAGAGAGAAACTAAGTTTGATGGGCAAACCCTATTGTAAAATTCAAAGCTTGAAACAGCCCAACAACTAAAACCAAACCCTTTGAATCTCATATAAATTTCCAACAATTTTAATGCTTTTAACTAAAAGTCAAACCTGCTTTCCAGATTTTTTCCTTTTTTCCCAATCCAAAACGTAACCCCAATTTGCAACACTCAACGAAGCTTATTAAACAATAAAACAAAACAAAAACAAAAAACAAAATAAAATAAAATAAAATCAACGACAACAACATTGCAACAGCAACATTGGTCAACCCAACTCCCAATCCCCAGCATTTTCCTCCCACCATCTCCGTCAGTATCCGGAAAAAACGGGAGAGAAATTTCCGAATCAAGAAAAAAAAAACTTTGACTCTTAACTCCAAACATTAACAAGCATGATATACATACATACATATACATACATACATACATAGAGAGAGAGAGAGAGAGAGAGAGAAATACCTGATTGAAGAAGCTAAATCGAACTCAGAGCGATCTTGGAATCCACGAGAATCTCGGTCGTCGCCACAATCAAAGATCTGGAATCTGAAGAAGCTTTCCTAGATTGACTTTTCTTTCCCCCCCTCCAGTCTCAAGATCTAGGGCACGATATCACATCGACAACGATAAACACATGAAGACGACGACGACGACGAACCACTCAGACCTCTAGAGAGAGAGCGAAAGAGAGAGAGAGGAGAGAGAAAGTCTTATAATTGCGTAATATATACATATATATATATATATAAGAAGACTATTTATGGGTTTTGTTATGATGTTTGATTGTTTCGTTTGTTGTTGTTTTTGTTTGTTTGACTAATCGTTTGAAGAAGGATAGAAAGGGCGTCGTCTTTGGTTTGGCAGGCACTGTTCTAACCAACACAAACGCCTACTCTCGCTCCTCCCCTTTTCAGCCGGCGATTTTTATTTATCTTTTTTTTTCTCTCTTTTTTCTTTTCTCTTTTTTTTTTTTTTTTAATTTTGTTTCTTGTTTTCTCTCTATGGCTTACGCGATTTCCTAGATCGTGCGTTTCACATTCTTTAGCTATTGGATTAAGAGAAAATCTAAAAAAAAGGATCCTCCCAGTTTTGTCCAAATATAACTTTTACTCTTGAGTTTTTTAAAATTTAAAAAATTTCTGTGTGTTTTTCAAGCTATATAAAAGTATTCTTTCTTTTAATTTTTTAGATTTAATTATTTTAAAATAGTTAAATTGTGCTTAAATATTTCATATATTGTCTAAATTTTATGAAATTATACCAATTTTTAAATACACCTCGTAAATTTTCTTTTTTGTTTTAATATACCTCTTAGGAAATTGACAACATCAATTTGAACAAATTCTTTTTTAACTTTTTTTTTCATTTTAATAAGAAAGTGAAATCACAAAAAAAGATGTAATTTATTTTCTTTTTTTAAAATTCTATTTGGTAAAACATGACGAATTTATTTATCAATTTGAGGTGAAAATGTATTTTGCAGTACATAATAAACTAACTTGTTAGAATTGTCAATAATACTACGTGATAGAAAGTTTGCATCTTTTTCTAAGATTTCACTTTCTTATTAAAATCGAAAAAAAAAAAAACTTATTCGAGTTGGTGTTGTAAATTTCTTAAGAGAGTCGCTTCAAAAAAAAAAGAAAAAAAACTTAAGAAAAGTGTTTGAAAGTTAGTATACCCTAGCACAAATTTGAATATAATATGTAAGGACAATTTGGCATTTAAAAAAAAATCAAAAAAGTTAAAACAAGAGATATCTTTTCTCTGTTTTTAAAAATACAGGAAATACTTTTTAAATTTTAAAAAACTTAAGGATAAAAGTTGTATTTAAGTAAAACTGACGGGTTACTTTTTGAATTCTCTCTTTGATTAATTTCATAAATACGCTTGAATTTTATATCTTTTATTTCAACATGTTCCTAAATTATAAATGGTTCATTTCGCCTCTTAAATATGAAACATGGTTCAAATAATGTTGTAGTATTAAATTTGTGTCAACTTAACTCTCGAAATTTTAAAAAATCTTGAATAAGTTAAAATTTTGTGTTAAGGTACTTAAGTTGAATCAAAATTTTAAATCAAATTAAAAGTGTAATAAATGCTGAGAATCTCCGTTATGTTACTATTTGTTTTCTTTATTTTGCTTTTCTGTTAATCTAGGGATTTTTTTTTCATTCTTCAAATATATAAACTTAAAAAATATTGTATGATATTTTATTTATTGCGGTCTCTTATTTGAAATTATTTTAATAGACACAAGCAAAAACAATTGAAATAACAAGGTATAATTAAATGATACAAATTAGGGAGAATATTAAAATGGGAGAGAGAATTAAAAATTTTAGAAAATAAATAATGGTGCCACTTTGATTTTAACGCTTAGCACATGGAATTAGACTAACAACACAAACGACAGTCAACGAAAACTATCATTATCAAATTGGAGCAATTTGCATAGAATTTCTAATTCAAGGGATTATCTGTCAAAATGTTTAGTTTAAGGACCATTTTATTAATCAAAATTAAGTCAAAGGGGAATTTGTGCAGAAATACAAATTTATATATAATACAACTCTCCCGACCTCTTATTTTGCATAGAATTTCTAATTCAAGGAATTATCTGTCAAAATGTTTAGTTTAATGACCATTTTATTAATCAAAATTAAGCCAAATGGGAATTTCTGCAGAAATACAAATTTATATAATACAACTCTCCCGACCTTTCTCAATTGTTAGAGTTTAGTTCGCTGATTCGAATTTTTAATTTGAGTTGAGATGTGACTTTATATGAGAGCTTTTTACTGTAGCAAAAAAGTTAGATGTGACTGTTTCTGAGAGCTTTTTACTGTAACAAAACTCAAATTTTAAACTCAAATAAGTGAAATGAACGAGCCATATATATATATATATATATATATATGTGTGTGTGTGTGTGTGTGTGTGTTCATCATACCTTGAACTAGGGCATGTAATTTTCTTGAGGTTCATTAAAGGTGAGGATTAATGGATTATTTATGAATATAGTCAACCTATTTTTATTGAAAGCGAATGAAAATTCAAAATCATTAAATGTACACATTGGCAGAGTGACTTTTAATGAACTTGTGCACGTTCAATAAATAGACAAAGGGTTCTTATATGATAGCGATTTCAAAACTATAATTCATTATTATCTAAGAAAATCCTATAATTCGTTATTAAGATATTTTTTCATTTTCTTTGAGACCACGAATTTCTTTATTGAAAACTTTTTCTTTTTTTCTTTTTGAAAGAAGTCTCTTTTATAATTGTGTGTCAGATGTCATTAACGTCTAATTAACGATGGAAATAAATATGATTCAAATTATTATTATAACAAGATAATATCTATGAAATATTAATGTATTAAAGATGTCGAAAAGTATTTTTCCTTTTGAACTCTTGAGTACGATAGAAGAAAAAAATTTAAGGAGGGAGGGATAAATAAAGTAGTGGAAGGATTTCGAAATTTATGATTAATTGATAGGAGGGAATTCATTGACTCATTATGACTAATTTCGAATTTTTCAAACAACCACAATTTTAATTATCTTAATATGGAGATATTACATTTGGAAATAAATATCAAACACCATAAAAGAAAGGTGCTTCCTTTCTATTTTTATTTTCTTCATCTAAATTATTTAAAATCCCATATTTCTCTTTTTTTTTTTTTGAAATGGGAAATTTTATTTCATAAGAAACAAATTACACAAGACACAAATGGCTCTAAATATAAAGGAATTTGACCCCGAATTAATTACTGGATCCACTGGTAAAGATCAAAATAGCACATAAGTGAATAGAAGTACTAAAACTCAAATGGAGAAACACCCGCTTGGCACATAAACAATACCAAAACAGATGATGGACTAACCCAATTGACTGAGACCAAACCCCACATAACAGAGACAATCACACCACGATGTAGAGAAAACTCTAGCAAAAAAAAAATACACCACAACAATTTCAAACAGGTTGGAGACACAAGTGGAGGATATCACCTTCGTTATTAATGAAACAAAAACACCAAAGTAAAACAAAAAAAAAAAAAAACACCAAAAACATCAATGCGCTTATTACTACTAAATAAAAGAAAGATCCACCGGTAGTAAGCCATTGACTGTGGAACGGAAGCCAGATTTGAGTGGAGCTATCCCAGAAGGGAAGCATACCTATGGGAGGTCGAGGACTACGGGAGGACCACAACAAGATGGATGGGACGTTAGCAACGAACACTTCCAGCCACCAACAGAGAACGGAGCCACCGTCTCCCAGAGAATCTCACCACATGTAGATCAACACACCATGGGAGTCTGACCACCGCCGACGAACACACTCAAAACAACGGTCTAAGCTTGAAGCAGCCCACCTCAAAGACAGGCTAGATCCGTCCTAACGGATGCGCCGCTCCACACGTAGCCACCATCACGAGAAAATCGACGTCGAGATGAATCTGGAGACCAAACTTCAGAGCTGGAAGCCTGGCTACGCGCCTAAAAACAACGTCAGAGCTTCGACGAAACACTGTAGCTCTTTTTACTAAGAGAGAGAAAAAGAGAGGAAAAATTTTAACTTTTTTTTTTTCTAATTCTTTCACCCCTATTTAATTTCCCATTTCTCTTTGCCAAACTAGTGTTGTGGTTGCTTTTGAGTGAGGGAAAATGACTACTTCCATCAATGATTAAAAGTACACTTGACATTATTACTTTTAAAAATTTTGACCAACTACAATACCAACCCCCCAAATTTCAAGTGGCAATCTCTTTGGTGGATGGGCCAAGTATTAAGATGTAAATATGTGTTTGGCTAAGAAGGTGGACGACAATCATATTGGCGATATTTAACATTGCTCCTAAAATGTGATAATCCATAACACTCATTACTATGTTAAAAAAAAAAGGAGCAGCATACCTTCCTAAAGATTATGAGTTTTTATAAGTTGAGTTAATCCTCAGAAAATAGAATTATCTAATTTGTTATTTACGAACTAATATAAGTTTCAATTTTTCTGTCATTAAAGTATCAGTTTAAAAAAAATCATGGGAGTTGTTCTTTTGGAGTGTAATTTGAGTGCAGTTTTTAAGTTGAATTTGAGTTATAACTTGAGTTGAAGTTGTAACTTGAATAAAGTTGAGTAAAATTGAATAAAGTTGAAACTTAAAAGAACGTGAACTTGAATAAAGTTAGAACTCGAGTTGTTTTTTTTTTAATTTTTTGGACAAAAGAACATGCCCCATGTCTAGGTTACATGACTCATTGATAAAGGGAGTTTTTTCTTAACAATTTTTAATTATGTATGGATCATTCGATAAGCAAATGTAATAAAACCGTTAATGAAGCTTCAATAACAAGAATATCAAAAATAACAGCTTATAATAATATTAGAGAAGTAATTTTACGTAACAAATTAATACAATCTATATTATTCAATTTGAAATAATTATTTTGTTGTTACAATAAATATATGTTTTCGGTACAATATCAATATGAGATTACTTTTTTAAGTCCAAAATAATAGGGAAAAAAGACTATTAGTTGAAGAAGAAAAAGGTTTCGAAAGAAAAAAAAACCGCGAGTGTGATTCACGTGACAGAATGCGTGTAGTTTTCGCTTTGAATGTTGTATGCATACGACGTATAATACGGTTTGATGGATCGACTGCCAAGTGCCCACATAAGGGAAAAATACAATGGTCATTACGCCTATAAATGAATTTACTGTACTACCCTTTTCTTTTACCAATAGGCGTGGAAGCCAAGAAGAAGAAAATTCAAAACCCAACAAAATATAATGTTTTTCTTTTTCAAAAAAATCCAAATAACGCTTTTTTTTTTTTAATTTTGTTAA